CCATATGATATGATTTTGTTCTATGACTGAAAGTAATATAAATAATAAGTTCTCAAGCATAACTAAAAGGAATTTAAATTAAAAAAAATATTTTCTGAAAAACATTTCCTATTATTTTATTAATGTTTTCTACAGTCTTGATTATTGCATCAATAACCTTCTACACTACAGTTTTGGGTAGAGAAAAATTAAGAATATCAAGTGGCATTATTTCAAGATATGGTGGAATAAGACAAATAAGAAAGGCTTTTTTTTTTTTTCCCAGTATCTGTTAATCTAGTCACAATAAGGAAATTAGAGGGTGACACTGAACCATATCGGGGCATGTCATATTTAAAATCTCTTGTAAATCTGAAAGACTTTTATATTGTCATACCAAACCACCTGGCTACATATTTTTTATTATATGACAGAAAGATAGCCCTGTGGTTAGAGGATTAACCTGGGAAACCTGCAGTCAAGTTTTCTGTCAGCCTTGAATTATTTGCATGTTTGAGGACAGTGCCATGGGCAGGGGTGTCAGTTGCTGTGGAGAGGCTGATCTCAACCTCACTGGGTTGCAGTGATCCTTTGTGCACATCTCTTGTAGACTCCCTGCTTCAATTCCCCATGGAACTAGGATAAAACTACCTCTGAGTGTTAGTGTCACAATCCAGGGAAACATTCAGTCTGTGGCTCATCTAGGAATTAATACCAGGCTGTTCCTGTGCCTGCTGATTACTGGGATGAGTGTCACTGTAGTGGTTAGTCTGTATGCCCAAGCCATGTGGCTGGCTGAAGTCCCACCAGCTCCAGTCAGTCTACAGATATTTAAATATCCCTGGATGCTCTGGGGAAGGTGCACCAAGGCATGGATGTGACGTAGAGGAGAGTCAAGGGCTCTGACAACCCCCCCTCTGTCCTTGGGAAAACTTCCTGTAGTTCCTGGCACATGAAGCTAAAACCCTTGTGAAGTGTTCAGACACTGACTGCACTGAGTGCACAGTAGAAGGACAGACAGACTGAAAAGTCAGGACTTCATTAATGTTTTCATTTCAAGAACAGCCATGTCCTTTCTTCCTTCCAACACATAAGGTCATAAAGGCATGATCATGCAATCAGCAGTGATTGAATAACCATGAGTTACTGTCTGACACTGGAACCTTTCCAATTAATCAAAAGCATCAACTGTGAAATGAAAATACATTTTCATAGCCTGCCCTTAAACTCCCTTACAGTTTACTTTGCAACTGGGGCATGTTAAGAACATTATTAGTAACTGCAACCTGTTTTACAGGTTTTGACCTTTTCCTTAACATCAACTCAATACCCATTCCTGAAGAGAAAACAGCAATTTACTACAGTAAAAAGCTTTTAGTGCAAGTTCTCCTTCTTTGCTTGACATTAGATTTTGCTAACTATAAAACAGCCTAACTACAAAACTTGTGTAAATATTTTCCTTACCTGTAAAAAGGAGTTAAAATAATTTTTCAAAAATCCATTTTCCCTATTTACTCTGTACATGTACTACCTATTAAAATATATGTTTAAGTGTTCACATTTCTGTAACTATTTGAATGCCTTTCAAACATGGCATTTTTCTACGTCTCTTGTTAAGATTGCACTATTTGCTTTGGACACCTAGAGCAAAATATTGCCTTACCCTTTACATGCCTAAAGTAAACAAGACTGAAATTTTCAGATAGCATAGAAAAGAGTAGTTTCATTAAATGTTTTTTTGGTTTTTTTTTAATACAGTAACATGGTTTAGATGATGTAAATACCAGCTAGAAGAAAGCCTAGAATGAAAGAACTCCAGTTTCTGTGAGACTTACAGTGAGCTGCTTGAGCTCACAAGTCAGATCTCTTGCCTCCATCATCATGTCCTGCTACCTTTATTTTCTTTTTTGCTTAACAGGTTTCTTATTTGAGATATTCTTAGTGAAAAGAATAGGAATTTTTGGTGTGAGTGTGAATCTTGTAATAATAATACTTTTCACCCTGAACTCTGGTAACAAATAAATGTTAATGGTAAAGCCCTGGTGTAATGTTCTCAAAAACTGGCTGATAATGCTTGGGTAAGCTTTTTTTGAAGGAATACATTGCTCTTCTGCCTGTTTTAACCAAAGAGGTCTTTTATAGAATCAATAGGGGGAAAGAGTTGAGATCAGTCCTATCCCTTGATATTTTTTTCCAATTAAGGCAGTGGATAATTTTATTAAAAATATTATTTAATTACTATTCAGCATTTTTATTCTCATGAGATACTGCACAAACATTAATTAAACCCCACCAACGCCACAAACCTCACTTGGAAATTCTAAACCCGTTTTACAAACAAGGACCTGGAGCCAGAGATCTTTCAGTACCAGAGAGATCACAACTTGAAGCTCCTCAGGACAATGGGAGTCTAGAATAATGAATGGCCCTGCAGGTGGAGCTGCCTCAAAGAACATCATCCTGACTCTGTCTTGACCTAGGGCAGTTTATTTGACTTCCTGTGTGAGTTTTCTTCAGGGATGAAGGTCTCTAGCAGTCTGTCAGATTGAGGCTGTTCATACAAAATTATGACATAGTCATTGCCTTATGTATACACAGAAGAGAAGTGAGCCCATTTCCATAGTCCAAGGATTAGAGTATCCACCCAGAATCATATTTCTCTCCAATGAATAATTAACTTTATGCTTGTGCAACAGCAAGAAAAAGTGAAGATTGAGAAAGATGTTTGCAGTTTTTTCACTTATTTTATATATAAGATTCATTGATTTGAACACAAATCTGCTAGTGACAGAACACAACACTGGGGCAAAGACAGAAGGACAGACATGTCCTATCCATCTGTAGAGGGGGAGCACATTAGCATAGCTGTAACTGCAGAGCTTGTCTACACAGAATATAACTAACTAACTAACTAATAAATTTTCTAAAAGTCTTACCAATTTCAGTGATTCTCTCTAGGGGAGAAGGGGATATGTTTTACATTATGTTTTTACTTTATCATGTTTTTACATTACTGATGCTATACAGTCCACTTACTTTCACCACTTCCAGTTTGGTGACTTGGTCCTGTCAGGAAGACAGGATTTTCTTCCAAAAAGATTAAAGCCACCCATTTCTTTCCATGTATTATCTAGCAATCTTTGGTACTTACTTTCAGAGGACTGTAGAAAGGACAAAATTTAGGAGCAAGGACAGATTTTTCCTTGCTTTTGGCATATTTTTTTTAGTCACTTGGCCATAAATAGTTGAAATGTTGGAAAGCAGCCTAATTTCTTTGTAGTCCAGTTGTTATTTGTTGTTCTTATTGCTGTTTTGCTTTCCTGTTTCTCATTCCTGACTAATCCCCCTTCTTCTTCCTAGTCAGAATTCTGGATGACTGGTCAGTTAGAATATATCTTTGTGTTAATCTTTGACTATCTATTTTGTATGAGGGTCCTTGCTCCTATAGACACCTGACATTTAATATTATTGACTTGTACATCATTTGCTCTGGCTCCAGAAATCCTGCAGTATTTTCTCAAACAAATGGGAAGGAGAACAATTGTGACATTCTTCTAAAGCATTACTTTTCTCACTCTTCATTAAGTTTCTAAAGTAGGCCAAACCTGCTATGTCCTAGAAAATTCTATCACTCTCCATTGACTCTAAAAGAACTCCTGAGATCTACAGTTTAGACATCTACATCTGAAATACTTTCCAACTCTCAGATGAGATGGATTCTAACCCAGGCCGTCCGAACTCCTTCTTGTGTGCTGTGAAATGGGACAGCAGGGTGAAGAAACTCCAGATGTCCAAGAAGGCTGAGAGACTTGTTCATTTCCTGACTCCTCCATAGGATCCACTTGTGAGATTCCTAGGAAGTCTCATGTTAAATGATATCTTCCCTTTTACACCACTTTGATTAAGGCAGAAACTGACTGAGGCTTCTTCAGTCTCTTCCATAACACTTTCTTCTGTCTAATCTTTGCAGTGTATCCTGTAGCTTTTTTTCACTTGTTTTGGAATGTTAAGTGAATAAACAAGTCCAGTACAGAAATTTTTATGTTGAGCATTTATGACACTCACTGATTGGAGTGCAACTGAGTGGCAACACTACTTGAATCCTCTTCTAAGAGATTGGCTAAACATAAAGACACAACCTGTCTGAATTCATGCTCCTTGTTCTAACTGCTTGGGTAGTTTTCCTTAACACAGAAACTATAATTTATCTTCCTAGCAGTGGGTAATAATAAAGTCAGGGCAAGAGTTTATAATATTCTTGTCAACTACAACAATATTCTAATAACAAAAAATAAACTGTTGCAATATATTAGCATGAGCATATGCACAAAAAGAAAAATTACACTGACTTCTGAAATGTAAGTAAGCTCATGTTGAATAAAGGCAGCTTTAAGTAGCAAACATATAAAAACCACTTCCCATATTGCTTTTCTAAAAATAACCACATGAAGTAATTGCATATAAGTCAAAATTTTGACAGATTTCACATAAACCAGTGACAATCTGGGTATGAAATTCCAGGAACAGAAACTCAATTTTTCACAATCTAAATGTATAAAACCAAAGCCAGTGGGACATTTTAGTACTAGCTTTGTTAGACAGAAGTATCAAGACTTCACTCATTGGCTTTAAGAGTTTCTGATTTCTTCTTGCTTCTGTTATTTTTTCAAATTGAAAAGGTAACATTGAAAACTTCATCTGCATTTAGTATGGTCTCTAAAGATTAAGACAAAAAGACAAAAGAAGGAAGGTTGGCAATTTCCTTGAATACCTTCTTTTGGATTCTCAGTTGCCTGAGTGTTACTCAAATCTGACGATTTTCCTTTGCATTCTCTAACCTTATACAGCAGGTGAGAAATGCCCAGAAGGATTTGAGTGAGAGTTTTTGGCCACTGTCACTGACAGTGGTGGCTCTGTGTCAGGGTGAGGCTGCAGCCCAGAGCAGCCCCTGTGCCCAGCCCGCGGCTGCGCCCAGCCGGGTGCGCAGGCGGTACCCGGTGTCTGGGAGATGGATTCTGTACCTAGCTCCTCCTCTGGCGTCCCTGGAAAACTGAAGCTCGACTTGAGCAGATCGCCACCCTCTTCTTCTGAAAAGACAGAAACAAAGTAGCTATTTAATAACTCTGGTATTTGGCTACATCCAGACATAACTCTCCACTAGTTTTTAAATCCACTCAGTGACACCTATTACCGTTCAGGACCTCTGTTAGTGTTAAACTGCTGTGTTGCTATTATCTGCAGTATTTATCCCTTTGCCAGTTTTTCAAGTTTTCATCTATTAGTAATATTATATATTATTATTATTTTAATTTTTCTAGACATTTTCAAGTCACTAATATCACATAATATTAATAAATGCATTTTTGGTAACATTTTTTACATTGCTCTTCCCAATTTTTCTTAGTTATGTTAAATTGTATTGACTTTTAGCCTTCATGAAATTATTCCAGAAGAATCCTTATTGTTGGTCCTCTAGTTGCACCTCTAGCACTTACCACACATGATTCTTAGGCAACTTTTATTATCTTTTATACACAAACTTTCAATTCTGCCATTGTGAACCATGATAATGTTGTGATGACTTTTTTCCTATCACTTACATTTACTTTTTTTCCAGAGATAACTTTTGTAATTATAAAAGAATATTTGAACTTGGATGATATGTATATGCTGTATGAATGCAGAAATCACCTGAGTGGCATCAGAGTGCAGCTCTGAGCTACCCTGGCTTATGTCCCTTTCAGAGCTGCAGTTTATTGCCTCTGCATTGCCCTCTTGTCATGCTGGCATGTAAACTAATTTTGGACCAGGCACCTAGTCTAGATATTTCTGTAATGGAGCTGCAAACGGAAAACTGGGTCAATAATGATTCCATGAGATGCAGCATTTGCTTCAGAACTCGTACATTATGATACAAAACATGTCAGTAATATGTTTCATGTATTTACCCAATACTACATTTTTAATTCTTTTTATGTTTTTCCCTATCCTCCATATTTGCTGGTGTCTCAGGTGGGTGGGAATTATTGAGTATACACAGCCTTCCACTGTCCTCTTATCATCTGTGTTTGTTATAAGACACCCCAGAAGAACTGGGAAATAATGGAGTACTTCATATCCTCTCACTATACATTCAACCAGCAGCTCTTGAAAGAAAGATAAAATCAGGCATTGCAGACCATGTTCTTGTGGTGCACAGCCAAGAACTGATAACTTCCCAATAACTCACATCAGTTCATGTTATCATACCCTCAGGCAGACAGTTCTGTAAGGTCAAACCAGCTCAGACTTTTCTTCAGAGTACCTCAATGAGACCAGCTGGTTTTCTGGTGTGGCTTACAGTAGACACACAGTTTTGCCTGCTTCAATGCTCCATTTAACAAACACATGCATTTTGCATATTTTTTTTTAATTACACTTTTTATTTGTACTCAAATTTTTTCCCAATTATCTCACAGCAAGCAAAATGAGTGAATATACTCATGTGGATCTCTCAAGCAATTGTTCCGAGGTTTTGACAATTTCTGAGGTTAAGAATGTCTAATTGATAACAATGAGTTGTATAGCACAGATACTGCATAGAAAATTAGTTCCAAGGATGTTAAGAATGTTGGATAAGCTGAGCTGTCAAATAAACATCCTGTTTATAAACTCAATTGTTAAATAAACTCAGTCTGCTAAAATACAGCCTACAAGAGATCTCAGTAAGTGATGGATGAAAAGTCATACACAATTTAAAAAATGACTGGCATATGAATTTAAATTAAACTTCATTTGGAGAGGTAATGGACAACTCTAATTAAATAAAAGCACAAATTAGGCAGTTTCCATGGAGACTTTGCTCACATGATCTGCCTATATTGTATAACTCATATGCTTATCCTCTAATGTGGCTGCACAGAAAGCCGTTATAAGTAATGAAAGTTGTAACAAAAATATTCTGAAGGATCCTTTACATTCTTGCAAGTAAGTAGGAGATCTTACTGCTAACTTCATAATAAAGAAGATAGTTTAATATTTTTGAAAAATATATTAATTGATTCCAAAGGTCTATCATATCATTCAGAGACACATACAGAATGAATGCATAACATTATTTTCCCTTGCAAGAAAACAGCATCATAAAACAAATCTGCCCAAAACTAGACTAAGATGCTAGGAGTGGCTAATTAAGACTAAACATTTGAGGATGTGAAGTGTTTGAGGAAAAAGAAAAAAAGAAAAAAAAATATTTCCCAAAATTAAAGGGAAAGATCATGCAATGAGATCCGTAAGTCAGATTCTGACTTTACTGTAAGCATTTCTGTGCAAATTTGGACAATCCACTTAATCTTTTTCTGTCTCAATTTCCCATTAGAATTAGGACTAAAATGAATTTCTTTCTTGTAGCTGTACTACATTTGTTAATGTCAGTGAGCCTGTTGTCCAGAAAAACCTACACAGAGCACAAACATAAAATGTCCTTCCTGCAGAAAAGTTACATTCTGTTATAAATAGGGTCAATTGCAGGTATTTCAAAGGAACTTAGAATTTCTTTGTCATTCTCTTAGGTTTATTAATCTGTATGAGGGGTATGAGTAGGTCTTAGTGATAGTTTACTTCTTAATTATGAGGACTTCTTATTTATTTATATTTTATCACTATACATATTCACATCACTATTTCATTATTTCCATTGTCTTTTCAAAAGGCTTTTGTCATTTCAGCCATTGAAAGGATTCAATTTTTGTGTTCTTGCACTTATGAAGCATAAATTAATCTAGAGTCTGGATGGCTCTTGCAGTATTACACAGATAATCTTTGTATGAGATTAAACTGTACTCCAAACTCATATTATTCATTCAGCAACAGACATACATGGCCTTTGTTTCTTCAGTATAAATTTTTCCTAGAAATTGCCCATTTTTATTATTGACCATAAAAATTAAAAGCATGGCCTTCATTTATGAACACAGAGCATTCATGAGCACTTTATTTCTCACAGTAAAGGAGTCAGGCAGGTTATCACAGCATTCTGGTTCATGCTGAAATGCAAGTGTCAGAAATTAGTGCATTCATCTCATGTCATTCACCTTCTCTATCTCATAGATAAACAGGCCCTCAGCTTGCCCTTTGCTACCTACTGGTGGAACATTCTACACCAGTGGACAGAGAAGAAAGTTGTGTTCTTAGCATGGAATGCTTCAATGGGCAATGAATTGCACACAAAGAGATCATGAAAATCGGATGATTTACAATATAAGTGTTTTAACTATGTATGGAACACAGTTCACACACAAGGGACACACCAATATACAAACTACTGCATCACAAACAGGTCTAAACAGAAAACAAGACTCTTGCTCTGAACTTGAAACTAAAACATAGCAGGAAAAGCCTCCACTCAACAGGGCTCAAAAACATTGACAAAAAATTAAAGGCTCTAAAAATGCAGAGAAATTTGCTTCTTTGAAAGCTCAATGTATAGTAAGATGATGCTGTGATCTGCATAAGTAGGAGAGCAAAAACTATCACTTACATGTAGTATCTCATTTTCCTTTTTAAATATGTGATGTATCTGTCATTCATTCCAGTTCAACACTGCACAGATGACACTCAAAACTGTGATAGGAACTTGTCACAGCTGAAGTTCTCCAGACTTAAGCTTGGAAACGTCAGGAGATATTGCTGAGTTGGAACCAGCTTGACACATCCAGGCAGCTCATTCAACCCTGAAGCTACTGCATGCACAGTGGGAAATGACACAGAGCAGTGCCCAAGGTCAGGCTGGTGTGGCACAGCTTTTGTCCCCAGTGCAGGCTGGATGTCTGTCAGGAGTGTGGCCTGGCTGTGCTGCTCCATACCCTGCTAAGGAGACATTCTCTAGGGAAGCACTGCTTGGCATGGGCCAAATCTGGTCGAGGGTGTGTGCTGTGACAGGGATGAATAATCACTTTGCCCACTCTTCAAATTTTGTCATCTCAGCTTTAACCTCTGTCTACTCTCTGAACCTGATCTATCAGTTTAAATTCTCTTTCTTCACCTGCAAAGTCTTGCCTCTTTGTTGGATCTCATTTTTCATGCATTCATTCTACCCTTAATAACCAGGCAAGCTGTTTCCATCTCCTAATTGTACTTCTTTTATAACCTATCCATCCATAAAACAGGCCCCAGTGTCCGCAGACCTGTTGCTCACTTACTTTAAAAGGTTCACCTCAGCAAGACTTAATCAATTAACTGCCTTCTCCATCACAATATAAGAGGAAGACTGAGCTAGAACTGATTGATACTGAACTTAGTTCATAGCATTTTGATTTATTTATTATTGGCCTGCTCTGGACCTCACATCAATTTTTTTTCACTATGTGCTTTCCTTTCAGCCTGCAAGCTGCCTATGGCAGCTGTTGTTTTTTAGTTTCTATATAGTCCCTGGTATTATAAGCCTGGCAACAAATGAGAGAAAACTCAAAGTGCCTGAATTAAACTGCAGCTGGAATTTCATTCAATCACATAATGACAGAATGTGTCATTAGAGGATGAATATGGCACACTCACCACATCACTCCATAATCTGAGAAAACAAAATCACCTCCCCCAGACAAGGGAAACCTTAAGATCTAGAAGAGAAATCTCCTGTACCTCAAGTCCTGCTATGAAATCAAAGCATTTCTTGCAAGTGGCCTTTCACCCTGGCCTAAGACATCCCCAGAGTGCTCAGTGTATCTCATGAGAACAGGGAACTGAGAACTGGTCCTAATCTCAGGGAAAGAGGCAAATGTCTGCATGCCTGAGAGATGTTATGGACTCCTCATCCCTCCTGACAGCTAATTGGATTGATTTGGACCTTCCCCAAGAGGCCAAAAAAACTTCTAGAAAACCTATTCCTTTCCTCACCCAATCCTCCAGAGGTTACATCCAATTTTATCACATCTATAAAGCAAACTTGGCATGGTGAAGGCTCCTCCTCTGGCCATGAGGCCAGCTGGCATGCTCTGGCCATATGTTCAAGAACAGGTTGGATCCATCCAAACTGTGATGGGGAATGATCCTTTGTCCATGCTAATTCCCTAGTAAAGCCTGGGAATTATTTGGGACAGAGAAAATTAGT